TTATGTGACATGGATAATAAATGTACATATATTGTATCATCAAGTGCTATTGTTGAGATATGGATGGATGTATTGATGCTAATTTGTTACTTTTTACACGGCAGTGCGATCTTTTGGAACAGAAGGAAGAAAGAAGGATGGACCACAAATCCCACCGGGAGACAAAGTTTATGAGTATATTTTATTTCGCGGGAGTGACATCAAGGTTGGTACTGAGATGCCTCAGATTGGACTTCACAACTAGTGTTCTATATTTTTGTCTGATAGTTTAAAAAATAAAAATAAAAACCCCAAAATGTGCCGACTTTATGAGTTTAAATTACGGTGATGGTATTTGTCTTCAATCGTAGCATGGACTTTGGTTGTTTAGTAAGAGTAAAAATAGAATCTGTAATGTTGCAATTGGTGTTGACTACTCTCTGGTACTAAAACTGAAGCTCAAATATGGCCACTGAAGTATATGGTAATAATGATATTTGATGAAAATATAACTTTAACTAGGTGACCAGTTTTGAACTATGTAGCCTAGATTCACTTCTGGTTATATTTTCAAGTAAATATCCAGACCCTAAGTCTTTCATTATTATCTTTGTTTTCAGGATTTACAGGTTAAGTCTTCTCCACCTGTTCAGCCTACACCACCTATAAACAATGATCCAGCTATTATCCAGGTAAGAGAAGGAATTCTAACTTTTGGGATGCCTCTAGCCAACCTCTGCTAATTTATTCTCTCTCTCTTTCTCTCTCTCTCTCTCTCTCTCTCTCTCTCTCTCTCTCTTCTCTCTCTCTCTCTCTCTCTCTCTCTCTCTCTCTCTCTCTCTCTTCCCTCTCTTGCAGTCTCACTATTCCCGCCCAGCTCCTTCAACATCGAGCTTGCCAGCTCCAGCTAGTGGATCTTTGACGGATATTAATTCCCATGCTCCACAGATGGGACTCCCTGGTCCAAATTTCCAAGGTAGTTTGCCTTTATATCAACCTGGAGGCAATTTAGCGTCATGGGGTGGTACGCCGCCTCCTCCAAGTGCAAATGGTATGCCAATGTATTGGCAAGGATACTATGGCCCTCCAAATGGGCTACCTCATTTACACCAGCAGTCATTGCTTCGACCACCACCTGGGCTGTCAATACCTTCTTCACTGCAGCAGCCAATGCCTTCTTCACTGCAGCAGCCACTGCAGTACCCCAATTTTACTCCCTCCTTACCTACTGGAGCTTCAAACTTGCCTGAAGTTCCACCACCTTTGCTTCCTGCTGCTAGTATTAGTTCCTCTAGTTTGACTGCTACTTCTTTATCCCCGCCAACATTGCCAACAACTCTGCCTCCAGTGCCTTCTACAACATTATCTCTTGAAACTCTACCAAGCTCAATGCCTAACAAAGCACCTAGTTCTGCCCCCTCTGCACCTTCGGCAGCCATGCTTAGTGCAAGCTTGCCACCACTATCTTCTCTGGCTACTTCAAGCCCAGATATAAGTGTTGTGCCACCAATCTCTAACAAACCTCTTGCAATTTCTGGTCCAACCTTGCCTTATCCAAGCATATCTCAAACGACTTCCTCTGTTGCTGGGACAGCCAATTCTTTACGCATGGAAACACTAGTGCCTTCCTTGGTAACCCCAGGCCAGCTTTTGCAGTCGGGATCCACTACAGTCTCTTCATCTCAATCTTTGCAAACAGCTCACAAGGATGTGGAGGTTGTACAAGTTTCATCATCAACCTCATCAGAACCATCGGTTCCACTTTCAGCAGAACCACAGCCACCAATATTGCCACTTCCTCAACAACCTGCACAGGCTGGTCAAAAGGTTGTTTTGCCGTACATGCATGTGTTACACGCTCACTTGCACACACACACACACAGATTCTTGCATGCCTCTGGACTAGTTAGTTTTTGTGACTCCTTGTATATGTGGGCTGGGTGCAACAAAAAAAAGTGGACTGTGATTCAATGGGGTGATCTTCAACTTAGTTATCAACATGCTTATTAGTTTGAGTTGCTATTATTAAGGATTAGATGGTGTGGTAGTTATTATTCAGGATTAGATGGTGTGGATGTTCACCCCCATGAAAATCTGAATTGTCGGGCAGGCTCTTTGTTTGAATTTCTTTTTGTTAGATTTATTTGCATATGTCTGGTGTCAGCCTGAATTTGATCCAGCCTTTTAAATGACTGAATTGTTGTGGATTGGTGGTTTCTCCTATTCCACCAACTCGGTTTAGTCTAGTGGCCAGTGTTTAGGACTTCAAGTTTCTTTTTTAAAATTTATTATGTGTTCTGTGGTTCGATTGCAAGGAGTTCTGACGTTGGCTTCTCCCTCTTTCCATAAATAGGACTATGTGCGTTCTCAGCCAAATGGAGCTCCATACCAAAATCAAAATCGCCAGGGTTATACATATAGGGGACGTGAAAGAGGACGAGGGACTGGAGTAAGGAAGCCTTTTTCCCCCACAATTTGAATTTTGTTGGGTATCAATGGTTTGTTAAATGCGAACTAAAATTGAAATTTCTTGATTGGAAGTGTTTAGTCAGAAGAAGTGTTTTTATTTTCTTGACTACTTCTAATCTATAGTAAGTGACATATATGATAAATCCCAAATTATCTACAGACATGATCCTCCTGATTGGCTTTAATTTACTCTCTTTAATTAAGTTGTTGCATTTTCGGCATCACTGAAATTGCCAAATAAATAACATGTTGGTGTGCAGAGTTCACGTCCCACAACAAAATTCACTGAAGAATTTGATTTCATGGCAATGAATGAGAAGTTCAACAAGGATGAGGTTTGGGGTCATCTTGGTAAGAGTAACAAACCTCACAAAGAGGGTGATGGAAATGACACTGATGAAGATGACATTGAAGATGAAGATGAGGCTGAGTTATCGAAGGTTGAAATCAAGGTGGCATTGGCTATCTTTATCATTCTAGCTAGATGAATTCTACTGTAAGTAATAATCCTTGTATTACTTCTGTTATCTGAGTTTGTTTAATTTTGTTTTTGTGCCACAGCCCGTTTACAATAAGGATGACTTCTTTGATACCATCTCGTGCAATTCTACGAGTCATGACCAGAATGGAAGGACAAGATACTCTGAGCAAATAAAGATAGATACAGAGGTAACAACCTTTTTGTTTTTGTCATCTTAGTTATTGGAGTTTTTTATTAATGCGGTTGCTTGTTTGGGGGTGCAGACTTTTGGCGCTTTTTCAAGGTACCGGGGTGGAAGAGGCGGCCGTGGTCCTGGGCGTGGTGGCCGTGGTCGTGGTGGCTACTATGGAAGGGGGTATGGAGGTGGTGGCGGCTATGCCCCAAGGGGCCGTGGCCGGGCCATGCCCACTCGTGCTGCCTATGAGAGTTAGTATTGGTAAACATTCAAAGCCTCATCTTGCCTTTCAGAACAGCAAAGAGATTTAGGGCTATGCTAGTGTTGTGCTTTTTTCTTTATTTATGCTTGTCCAGAGAATAAGTAGAAGTAAATGCCTTTTTTTCAGTATCAAATTGCCGGTCGGTCTGTATGTGTTTCTTCAACCTGACTTGACATTCCTTTTTATTGACCAAATCAAGAAGCACCGAGTTTAGTGAAAGAAAACTTTCTGTTTAATTTCTCCTCGTTGATTGATTCATGGCACCCGTTGGCAGTCGGGGGTTTGAACTGACGACCCTATTGGCATTCGACTGAAGTCGTAGCTGATATCGGTGTTGGTCCTGGTTAAAGTCACTCGGATAGAATTCTGCATGTATAATGTGTGTGGTGTTCCCTAGCCAACCACCACCCCACCCCTCCGCCTGCACCGGTGTCGGCCTTGCAGGCGACTACTCAACCATCAATGACCTCTCTCTCGGCAGATTATAAAACCCAATTCCCAGAAATATGTTGAATGGGAAAGAGATGGAGACTTATGGTGGAAGACTAAAAAAGGAGGTAACAATTCGACGGATGAGATTTAGATTAGAAAATCTAATCTAATGGTTGTAAGAGTTGAAATCTTATATTGATAAGAAAGAATTGATCATGACATTAGTATGACATACAAGGACCTCACTTTTATAAGTGAAATGATAACAAGAAATATACAATCTAATGGAGGAGATTGAGACAGGAAACTTTAATTTAATGATCGTAAAGAGTTGAAATCCTATCAGCAGCGGGTTTCGAACCCAAGACCTTCAGTTTTTAATTTGAAGGAAGCCAGACTTGTGGTCAGAGGGATGTTGAAATGCCTCTGTAAGTCTTTCCAACCTGAAAATTATGGATAACCGTGACTTGCTACCAGTTGTTCCTTTTAAAAATAAAAATAAAAATTGACCATGCCATAAGCTATGACACATGTCATGACATAACCCAATAATGAAGTCATTCTAGTTACTGTGAAGAAAAAAAAATTGATGTGTGAATTTAATATTTATTGTTGTTGAATATTTACAAAAATATTTTACAACAATGTAATTTAAATTATTTTAAAATTTTGTACCTACTCAAATTATTACATAAAATCATAAAAAACTTGAATTTAAGGTTTCTACTATAAGGGCTCTTCCATTACAAGCAATGTTCTTTTAGACACAAATTCCGTTAGAACAGCTAAATAAGCCTTCAAAAGTGGTGGTAGAAAGGAATTATTGAACTACAATATTCCGAAAGCAGCATCATCTTATACGGCCACCGGAGACTTGGATTACATATTAGCAATGGCTGACAAGGAAGAAGGCTGATCAACCCAGAGGTGCAGACTCTGAAGATGATTTCGGAAAACGGGCAAGTGAGACGCTGATTGCCAAAGAATAAGCTGAGTTTGAAAGAGAAGGAGAAGAAGGCACTTGTAGATTCATCTACTCTAAAACTTACTGATTGTATATATGCACGTATATAATTATGTGTTTCTTTCTCTCGTAATGTTGAATGGTCATCCAATAAAAAACATCTCCCAAGTCTTGTACTTATGTCTCACGCCGTAAGCTTATGAGTTTTAAATAAGAGTTTGAGATATAATATAGGGAATGCACACACAATTTAAGTGTTTATTTCTTTCCCAATTAATTGCATATCATATTCATGCCTTTCAAGTTCACCCAATTGAATTTGAAATCACAAATTGAGATCTTATTACATATACGTACTTTATTGACTCCGATATCGAGTAGCTTAATTGTAAATGCATAGCATGCATAGTTGCATACAACTTTGATGAAAGTAGAAGATACTGTGGTAATCATATCATGAGATCGATGGTTGTTCTACTTGCATGTGGCAACCAAGACTCTTCTGGGAGCAAGAGAAGGCCGCCTTCCATGAAGCAAAGCCAGGTTATCAAGGAAGAGAACATCACCCTTCTCCCACTTGAACTGGATGCTTTCTTCTTCGATTATCTGCTCACATCTGTTCACCAGCTCTGCCGGAATCTCGGTCCCGTCCGCCATCAGGGCCGAGCTGTTCTCCTTCCCATGCATGCCTACCATCGTGTTGAACCACATTCTCCTCCCTTTTCTTCCTTCAAACACCTTCGTCAGCGACCTCGGTCCTAATATCGTCTTGATTCCCCCATCTGATAGCCACTCGACGTCCATGCCTAAAGCATTAGCCCTGCCACAAGTAAACAAACACTGTCCATTTTAGCTAGTGACAATGATGTCGATCGACACATTATATAATAGACTAAAATATGAATGTATTACTTTTTTTCAGCTTCTGCACGGTCTGATGCGGCAAAAGTATCCTCCCAACCCCTGCCCCTCATAGAACCTGTGCTGTTCTTACTTGGTGCTGTGAAGGTGTATTTCAAGCCACCTGCATCTAATTCTTCCACAGCTTCCGGGAACTCCTCCAGCATCCTCTCCGTCACTCGGAAGCTCGGAACAAATGGGGTCTGTCCGCCTTCTGGTGGAGGTATCTCACAGAATAGGATGACCTTTTTGGGATATTCCTTAATCTGCAGGTTAATTAATTAGTTAGACACAGTCAATTAGGGTTAATTAATTAGAATATACAGAGTCAACTCTTCGAATTTTAGTTTACGATACAAGAGTCATCGGTACATGTTTGCAGGAAACATACTGAGGTTGGAATGAGTCCATGTTTTGACTTGGCTTAAAAAATTCAAGTAAAAAATGTTTGCTTAAATCAAGATATATGACAGTTAATTAACTTATTAATCTCTCTGTGCTTTGGTGCAGGGAAGGGAAGCAACTGACACAGTATTTGTTTGCAGAAAACATGATCAATTTCACACTTCCTAGCGATGAATTCGATACCTGTCTCCGATCCTAATGCAACAAAAACGAGTTCTTTTGTTTTTCGGTTACAAGAAACAACCATTCTAGGCCGAGCCTTGTCACCTAAGAAAACAGAAATGAAACTGCCAGGAGACTCCTCCAATATTTTTGACAACCTATGTCCCTAGAAATATGGTGATTTTTCATGGTGATAGTATATATATGCACTTACCAAGACCATCTCATGGTGATAGTATATGAACTCTGAGAGAGGTCCTTCATTTGCAGTCCAAACTCGCTTGTGCACATGAGTTCTTGGCGCCGGTCCTACATAGCGAATATCATCCCAACCGAAGGTTTCTATGATGTCGTTGAACTCCTCAGCGTTCTGAACATTGAAACCTCGGAGAAGGATAGCGCTGTTTTTGAGAAGCATCTGATCAAACCAGTCCTTGTTCTTCTGAAGAGCCAAAATAAGTGACTCCACATCGTTGTTTTCGGGTGCTGGAGGCTGCAGCACCAGTGGCATGGTCTCACCATCCACCACCTTTTGGCCTTCGCACTCTCCTACTTTGAAGTCTTTGGTGAAGGGCTCCATAATCTCTCTCTCTCTCTCTCTCTCTCTCTCTCTCTCTCTTGCTATTTGTTTATGGGCGTGTTGGTGTTTAGATTCGAAGGGGTTATATATAGTGGTGGGGATATGGTTCTCACCGGCTGATTTTGGATGCTTTGTATGTCATTTTGCTAGTTATATGACGCAATAGTTCTTTTTTTATTGGTTATGTTTGCGGAGGTACCTCGAATTTGGAATGAGGATTCTCCGGATCCTCTTTGTAAGGATTCGGGAATTCTCCAATCACATCCGTTCATCGTATATCGTGTGGTCAGAAATTATTGTAAATTTTTTATTTAAAATTAAATATAAACAATAATTGATGAAAATTAACCGTACAATGTACGATGAACGAACGTAATTGAAAGATCTCCAGAATCTCACAAAGAGGATCCGAAGAAGATCCTAATTCCAAATTTGAGACCAGAAGTTATAAAAAATGTATGATAATTACTAAGTCAGTCCCCCACCCCAAGCACAATATAATATACAGGAAAATACTGTATAGGGCACCTAGCAAGGCATATAGATACTTCATACAAAGTAAAGACAAGCTGTATAACCTAAATTGACTGTACAATGGAAAATACTTTGGCCATATCACAGTTCATCAATTTAACGAGTTAGGGCTCGTTTGGGACTGTTTGTGCCACAAATTTTAGTAAAACTCCAAGTGCTTCCTAAAGAGCACTTAGAAAACACTTTTATGATCCAGAAACACTTTTAAGTTTTTTCGCTCAAATTTAGAAGCATTTTTAGGTGTTGAAAGTGATTTTAGCCCCTTTTAGAAGCAATCTCAAACATACTTTTAATCACTGTGGTAATATGTATCAGATATAGATTCGCATGCAAGTAAGAATGACTCCGCACGTATAAAATGCCGAATAGTGTCATTTTCTTTAGCTGGCATGTTACGACAAATCAAGGTTGTATGCTAGCTAGGGTTAACAAGCGTTATCGGCGATGAGTAAAAAGCCATAAAGTAAAACAAAAAAAAACACAGAGAACAGCCCTAATACAGTACTTGATCTTTCTTATGCAACAGATAGCAGACTAACAAATCTTTGTTTGACATCTCAGAAAGAGCTTTCGAGTTACCTTGATCTAATTTGCGATTTGCCGTTCCATTGTTGGAATCTCTGAAGGCCTTGGTATACCCGTATGAGTGAATTTTTGATACCTCCTTTCGTTTCCATAACGTTATGGACGAAGCAATGTGCTTAAACCCAAACACAAGTTGACAAATTCTCGTCTTTTTTCTGCTTCAAATTCTACAATGCCTCTACGTCCGCATACAAGGATGTAATCAAGCCGGCCGTCCGGCCTTTGCATTTCAAGCTTTTCTGGTCGTGGGGCATTTCACATCTGCTGCTATGCTCCACTTGGCAATTTTATAGGCCATGTAGATATATGCTACTTATGTTTTTTGTTAATCTTTGTGAGTCCAGATTCTCTTTTTGATCTCTGTGTATGGAGCTTAAGGATTTAGAGATCTAAGTCGTTGAACAAAGAGAAATAGAGATTCAAACTTTTGGTTTATGTGAGGTGAGCCAGTGAAATGGGCTACCTACCCACCTGTGTTGATTCCGAGTACATATACCATTTTGTTGAAGGTCGTTTGAGTTTTTCTTCAGAGTATGACATGAATTACTTCAGCGCCGTGACGCATGGTACTCGAACATTGGCTCGAAGCATTTTCTCCATCCCTTCTTATTCTGAAAAATCAGAGCACCGTGCGTCTTGGTACCAATAAAGACTGCAAGGTTTAAAAGTCCAAATCTCTAAATCTGTTGGCTTCAAACATGGAGATCCGAAAAGGATCTTATTCAATCTTAAAGCTCCCCATACATACACTGAATATTCTTATATCATCAATAGACAAGTTAGCTAACACGTATAAATAAATGATTAAAAAACCACATTAAGAAAGTGTATTTAAAATTTTAATTAACATCCCATTGACACGGACAAAGTCCCTAGGCAGCAAATCTACATAAATCTAGGGCCATTGAAAAATTAGGGGGTGTGTTATCCACACATCTTTTTTTTTATTTTTTGCCCACCTCCTATTAATTTTTATTCTTTGATTTTATTTGATTCATCTGATCCGACGATCGAAAATTAGAAATGTGTAAGCAGTAAAAAGAGATATGTGGATATCACATTTCAAAATTTATGCGTCATGTGCGCACATTAGCAAACACTCAATGTTTACAGAAAACTGACACATGGCATCCACAGATTAACTTAATTACTTGATAATCTCACAAAATTACAACACAAGGCACGTGACAAAACACAAAGCATCCTATTTAAAGTTGAAACCAGAATTTAAAATCTAAACAAAGAATTTGTTAGACGCTTCTTGCTTCGTTTGTAAGAAACTATTTTTTATCTGTGTAATAAATACACAAATGTAATTTATTAAAGGATCATTTTGGTTCCTGTTTATACCATATTTAGGGCCTCGTATTTAGATCTCGTATAAATACTCGAGGGACTTAAATGTAATTATGTAATAAAGGAAGGGGCAAATATGTAATTAGGGGAGGAGCCCTTATTCTATAAAAGGGCATCCTCACCCTCACAAACCCTAAGCCTCCTCACATCCCCTAAGCTCTAAGCTCTATCTCCCTCTTCAACAGAGAAATATAATACAATCAGTGTGGACGTAGCCCAAACATTGGGGTGAACCACGATACATCTTGTGTTATTTACATTTCATGCAGATTCACGGTCGGATTTACGTTGTTCCAAGACCTCCGGTTTTGTGCATCAACATTTGGCGCCGTCTGTGGGAATCGACACGAAAAACTATGTCAGTCCTTTTTCATTTTTTCCATCTCACCACCATGAGACCTCACCACACTCCACCGTGAATCTGCAGAAACCCAAGAACCAAACACCTACACAGTTACTGCAAAACCCATATTACTACACCACTGCAGCATCGTGAATCTGACTACTACATCTGTCACCATCATACTATTACACCAAAGCAGCACCAAAGTCACAGCCACTTGGAAGCATACACGTTTGGGTCTCGATCTCAGCTTGAATTTTCCTCACACCTATAACAATCAAAGCGGCAGCCACTTTCAGCTGAATCTGATGCCTTCTCTCCTCCCAACTTCTGCTGCTGCTTCCCCTTCTGGCGTTCTTCCCCAAAAGCCCCTATGGAACGATCCCTTGCCTTCTTCAGATCTAAATTCTAACTCAGAGAAGTGCCGGGGCGGGCCCCGATCGTTCCTGCGGGGCATCGACGTGAACCAGCTGCCACCGACGGGCGATTGCGAAGAAGAAGTGGGGGTGTCCTCCCCCAACAGCACCGTGTCGACCGTGAGTGGCAAGCGGAGCGAGAGAGACACCAATGGCGAAGATCTCGACCTTGAGAGGGACTGCTCTCGAGGCCTCAACGACGAAGAGGATTGTGAGACCTCCAAAAATAATCTTGGCAACCAAACAGTCGATTCAATTCCTATAGAGAGAGAAAATCAAAATAGAGAAGCATTTGATACTAATTGAGATGGGGAGCTTCCATGTGAAGCACTCATCTGCGTCCGTACTGCTTCGTTTCTGCATTTTGTCGATCATCGCCGTCGTGGTGATCTGCGGCCACCATTTCGATTCTCCGGTGATAATATCCGACTCCAAACAAGATCGATACAGTCCTGTATGGATTCCGGTGGTTTAGCCAGAAGAAGTGGAAGTGGGAGCTTCTGAGTGTGCAGATTGGGATGACCCAATTACGTGCCAGCTTGAAGAACTACTACTATCTTATTTGCAAGCAATTTTCCGGAGTGCTATTAAGCAGTTTGCTGAACATGGGTACAGTGAGGAGGTTGCTGAAAAGGTTGTTTCGAGAGGCAGCCTTTACATTGGCTCACCTAGTGGAATACACAATGCCAGAAATGATCAACGTGGTTAGGGAGCCTGCACATCTGAAGGAGATCCATTTAGTGCTCTTGGTTATGAAAAATTTGCTGATTCGTCTTCTCCCCAATTAAGCTCAGAGGCAAATAGCTCTGAAACCATTCTTCCAAATCCCAATGAAGCAAATTCCTCAAAGCCACTGCCTGTTTATGCTCAAAGCAATCATCCTGAAACACTCAAATTTGGAAGTTTCCGTATACATTCCAACAGCACATATTCTCATGCACCTGAAGAGACATCCACCTCTGAAGAAAAGTCATCAGCTGGTCCATGCAAAAGCATATATTCGACAGAAGGGAGATTTATCCATGAAATGGAAATGGAGAATGTTTACAGAACAAGAGATCCATATGAGGCCCTCGTTTATTTTCTTCCCTTCAGCGTGGTGATGTCGATGCAGTACCTATACGTGGCCGACTCCCATGACACTCAGCCCATCAAATGAGCTGTCATCGACTATGTCAACGTCATTTCTGATAAGCATCCCTTTTGGAATCGAAGCCTTGGTGCTGATCACTTTATGCTTTCTTGTCACGATTGAGTAGCAACATAGAGACATAGGTGTAGTGGAAAGTGGAAAGTAAAAATAAAAAGAAAAAAGGGGGATTCCCTGGGACACATATGAGAAACAGCTCAAGGAATAATTCAGGAAGTATGGAGAGGTGGTGGAGGCTGTGATCATGAGAAATAGTGCAAAAACGGAGGTAAGATTAATGTACTTATCATTCCTTGTCTGCCATCTGCAAAAGAGAAAAGAAAAAGAGAGGCACATGGGGACACTACAAAAGTAAGGAATAAACACCCCACTAGAATGATGTAATTTATTTTATTTTTCGGAGACATCTGTATAAACTCCATCAGATGGTAATATGTATAAACCCCATCAGAGGGTAAAAAAAAAAAAAAAAAAAAAACGGCAAAGCCCAAAATAAATGGGTTGGCATGTTGTGGAGGACGAAGGCCCATGAGCCCAAAATAGCACCAACCAGGTAGGGGTGGGCGCGGTTCGGTTTGGTGCGGTTTTGAGTGAAACCAAAACCAAAACCGCAAGTTTTTGCGGTTTGGTTCGGTGCGGTTTTGAAGCCAAAACCAAAATGAAACCAAACCGTTTGGTTCGGTTCGGTGCGGTTTCAAACGGTTTCGGTTTGGTTTTTAAGAAAAAATGTACAATTTGCAATTTAACATATTAAAAAGCATTTCCCAATAGTAATAGGAAAATGACATTTGTTATGTAAACAATTAGCATGTTGCATGTAGTTGTGATGTTAAAACATGTTTGTGCAACAAAAAGGTGTCCCTTACAATATTTTTCATAAAACAATTTGAATAAATTTGAATTCATTAAACGTGAGCGAAATTTTCATACTAGAATATGTGATATCATGCTTCAAATGAGTGGCTTTTAGTAGATCATTGTTCAACTCTTGATAACAAGATTAGTCCACCCTTGTACATATATGTGTGTGTGATGGTATAAAATAACAAAGGTCCTTCAAGTTAATGAACAAAAGAAAGTGATGAATGATGATATTCTAGTGTGGTTGAGTCCATACTAAGTGTATGAATTTTAACAAACGACCAATTAAAACATGAAATATAATATGGACATTTAATTAAATGTTTATTAATATTTGCGGTGCGGTTCGGTTTCGGTGCGGTTTTCAAAGGCCAAAACCGAAACCAAACCGTTTTCTATGTTGCGGTTCGGTTTCAAAACCGAAACCATTTCAAAACCGCAAAACCAAACCGTTCGGTGCGGTTCGATTTGGTTCGTGTTTCGGTTTCGGTTTTCGGTTTTAAGTGCCCACCCCTACAACCAGGCGATCAAAAATACGCCCAGTACTCCAAAATCATTCGGCAACCCGCCGCTATTACCACCAACCAGGTGATCAAAAGTATGCCCAGTACTCCAAAATTATTTGGCAACCCGCCGCTATTACCACCAACCAGGTGATCAAAAGTATGCCCAGTACTCCAAAATTATTTTGCAACCTGCCGCTATTACCACCAACCAGATGATGAAATGTACAACCCGTACTCTAATATCATTTGGCAACTAGCCATTCATACCACCAACCAGGTGATGAAATGTACAACCCGTACTCTCTTTCATGCCACCAACCAGGTGATCAAAAGTACACCCAGTACTCCAAATTATACATGAGTATTACTCATGTCATTCATACATAAACATTCATGAGCATCACTCATGACCAAGGAAGAAAATATCGGTAATATCGGAAATATCGGTAGTCCGAAAATACGGAAATATCGATGGAAATATCGGGATAATATCGATATCGATAAAAATTACATGGAAACCACGGAAATTGTAAGAAAAACTTGGAAATTTTTATTGAAACTTTGCAGGATGTTTATTTAGTCAATTATCTATTAGTTTATCACAAAAAATTGAAAGGAAATGCATTGCATGATGGATTTAACTGATTTAAGTTGATTATATAGCGAGCTGGCAAACATTGTGAGTGTAGAAAATATGTAGTAATTAATGAAAGAAGTTTAAACACACCATAATCATTTATATATAATGAATTAGTACAATATTTTACACTTTATACATTGCATGGTAAGATACATGAGTGACTAAGTACCACATAGAGTTCCTATGAGGTTCAAAATTTTCACTATCTTCATCATCTCTATGTGTAGAGTAAGTGTATTGTGAAGAGTAGTCAGCAACCATGACAATGGCTTTCAAGAACCGAAACCCAAAAGTCAATAGGAAACCGAATACTTCGGTATTTTTTGGGATTTCGGGATTACCAAACAAATGGGATTTGGAAACCAATCCCATATCGAAAATTTCGGTATTTTTCGGGATGGTTTTGGTTTGGGACTTTTTTGGTTTGGTTTGGGATTTTCGGGAATTTTTTCCAACCATACATATAAGTGACCAAATAAAAAATAGAAAAATTAAAAACCACATGCCATTGACTAAGTAATTAATTGACACAATTTAAAATATAATACCACAAAAAATTTGGAATATGGGCAAATTTGTTTCTTGCAAAAAGAATTCAAAACAAAACCATATATATAAATAGTTTAGCATGTTTTCACAAAAACGTAAGTGGTATAGTGGTCAAGGCGCTGAAGGAGTTAGATGGGAGGGGTTCGAATCCCTTTATGTGCAAGTTTGAGACTTTTCAGAAATTTTCAAATATTTTTAGGTTTATCTCGCGATATTATAACGATAATTAAAGAAATACTCACGAAATATCGTTATATGAAAAAAACGATAATATCGGCGATATTTCGCCGATATTATCGATATTTTCATCTATGCTCATGACAATCATACATAAACATTCATGAGCATCACTCATGTTAACATTCATGAGCATCACTCATGACAATCATACATAAACATTCATGAGCATCACTCATGTCAACATTCATGAGCATCACTCATGTCAACATTCATGAGCATCACTCATGTTAACATTCATGAGCATCACTCATGACAAAATCCATGAGCATCACTCATGTCAATCAACATAAACATTCATGAGTATCACTCATGTCAATTAGCTTCAAAAACTTCATTTACAGAGCTCTAGTTTCAAAAACTTCATTCACAAAAGCTCTAGCTTCAAAATCTTCATTTACACAAAAGCTCTAGCTTCAAAATCTTCATTTACAGAGCTCCAGCTTTAAAGCTTCACTTGCAAAGCTTCACCTACAAAGCTTCAGTGCAGGGTATAAAAATACCACCTCCGAACAACCGCCCATTCGGCCCATACATGGATTCAATTTGAAGTCTCCAGCCAACAGACTCTATTGACCGAAGACTTAGGGGACTACATTATGTACCATATATTAGGCCTCAACTGGGCCTCATGAAAAATATTTGAGGGACTTAACCCATTACTTATGTATTGAGGAGCGAGCCCTTATTCTATAAAAGGGACTCCCTCACTTTCATTAGAGAGCACCAATTATTCATGTACTGAGGAGCGAACCCTTATTTTATAAAAATGACTCCCTCACCATCATTAGAGAGCAACGCCGCCAGCTGAGCAACCGCCTCGCCGCGAGTATCACTCTAGCCCATCATTCATGTATTGAGGAGCGAGCCCTTATTCTATAAAAGGGACTCCCTCACCTTCAACGCCACAAGCCGAGCTAACCAAGGCAACATAAGCCACGAGCCGAGCAGCCTAGCATCATGTGCTACTTCTAGTTGTGCATCATTTCAGATTGAGCACCGCCTCATATCGAGCATTAGTTCAAGACAACATCTAGTTACTTCGGCCCACACATGGACTGAATTTCAAGTCTCCAGCCAAAAGACTCTATTGACTGAAGACTTGGGGGACTACTGTTTATACCATATTTAGGGCCTCGTATTTAGATCTCATATAAATACTCGATAGACTTAAATGTAATTATGTAATAAAGGAATGGGCAAATATGTAATTAGGGGATGAGCCCTTATTCTATAAAAGGGCATCCTCACCCTCATAAACCCTAAGCCTCCTCACATCCCCTAAGCTCTAAGCTCTCTCTCCCTCTTCAACAGAGAAATATAATACAATCAGTGTGGACGTAGCCCAAACATTGGGGTGAAC